AAATAATGAAAATTGCTATATAATACAAGCAAAATATTAGTTTAGAATGTGCCTGAAGTCAAAAGCGTTTAAGCGAGTATCAAAAACTATCCAATACTTCCTTAATTAGGGGTTTATGATACATTTCAAGGGTTTTTATGATATTTTTAAGGTTTTTTTTTTTTTTGGTAATTGGCTAGGTAGAATTAGAATTAGAATAATTAGGTTAAGTTATTTTATAATTATGCTATTATCTAATTATAATAATAAGAATATTTGTAAAATATCTTTAGAATTAGGGGATCCAAGCCCTTCTAGAATCAAAATAATTTGTAAAGTTATATAAAGCTTAAAACAATTAGGGTTTGGAGGAATAATCAATAAGAAATTCTCTTCTTTCAAACTCTCAATTCTTATTCTTTTTGCAGATTCTATTTCTTCATATAAAACAGAAATACTATCATATTATAATTTGAGGAGTTATTTAATACTTTCTAATAATCGTTGGAGTGTTGTTGATTTAAGCATCTCTCAAGAGGCGATTGAAGCAAAGCCTTTGTTTGTTCAATAACTTTAAGAGAAAGTGATCAAATTATATTAGTATTTTTTGTGAAATGCATTTTCATTATTTTCTAAAGGTGTATTTTCATCATTTCAATAAACTTTCCAACTCAATTAACAATTAACTAACGATCAGTCAAGGATCAAAATGCCAACACTTGAAATGAGTGCTATTGAAATCATAGGGACGAAAATGTAATTCTCTCAACTACAAGCAACATCCTAGATGACAAATTATCCTTTAAGACTTATGTAATACACATCTTGCCTCACATGTAGCCTAAAAGGACCACACATAGGCCTCCTCTATGTTTTATTTATTATCTTTATAAATAATTAATCAAAGATTAGATTGATGTAGCCCTTTTTCAATAAAATGTTTGACTCAATAAGATTTTGCAAGATTATTTTTGTAAAACTATAATATGAGAAACAATAGTTTATAATTTCTAATACATAAGAAAAAACATATATAATACATATTTAACTAGTGTTTAGAAAAAAGTAATGAACGATCATCCATGTTTTCCTAAAAGGTAAACATCTTTGAGTTTTTTATTTATACTTTGACGAATTTGTTTATTTTTTATTTTTAGAATTTTTTTTTCAAATATATATGAAATACATTTGTATATATATATATTTTTTTTTGTGTTTATTTGCAAAATGATAATTAGTTTTTGTCAATGATACATTATGAATCCTTGGTTTATTAATATACATAGTTGAATTATGTATTAGCCGTAAGCACCATTAGGTGGCCTGATGGTGAAAGAGCAAATGAGGATCTAAGTTTTGTGGTTTCTCGAGTTCGAGTTTTTGCCTCTGCTAATAAGGGTGACCACTGAAGCTCTTACTCGGCTGGTACTTTTAGGATTCTGAGGCATGAGTTGAGGTGTATATAAACTGACCCAGACCGATCATAAAAGAGAGAGAGAGAGAGAGAGAGAGAGAGAGAGAGAGAGAGAGAGAGAGAAATTTGTTATTTGATTGCATCCATAGGTGGAGATAGGAATTTTTCCTAATCTATGATAACTTTTTTTATTTTTTTTAAATACAACCCAATTGCTTGACTAGAAATTTTATTTAGTTTACTAGAAGGGAATTTTATTAATCATATAAAGAATATACACATAGCAAGAAAACATCAAAAAAATCATTACCATTATATATCGTGATATATATAAAAAAAAAAAAGAAAAAAAAGACGTATAATGTTTCAGAGAGTTAAAAATCATGTTTTATTTAGATATAAATAAAACGAAAATAATATGATAGATGGTGTATAAAAAGAAAACGATAACCGAAGGATATCATGATATTTCTAATGTAAGACAATAAAGAGTTATTAATAAAAAATAGGCTCATGCAATTTATTAGCGCAGGTACTTAAAAATAATTAACAAAGTTTTGTTATACGTTATTAGTCCATTTTCAGGAGAAGCTGATCTGTGCAAGAATGGCTTTACCAAACCTAGAAATCTTTACGTTTGGATTATCTTCTTTGTTATCATTATTAAATATGATCGATGTATACGTATTGGAATTGAACTTTATTAATTACTAATATTCATATTAAAAAAAAGCCAAAAAACTCGCCACTTCTTCGATAGATATACATATAAAACCGAACTATTAAAGGCATTTTCTTCGCCATCGAAGGAAGATTATATATGGAATTCAAAGTGATAGAGATGATGATAGGGTTTGAGTGGAAACTTTGAAAGGAAAGAACAACGGACAGCCCTCGGTCGACCGATCACTTTCTTTTATTAATTAAATTATTGGGAGTTGGTGGCATTCGTGTGGAAACCACACTCCTTTTATCCATTTATTATTTGATGTGCTATCCTCGTCAGCTATCCATTAGGGTTTTTTTTTCTTTTCTGGTGGGTTTAATTTCGTTAATTAATTAGAGGTAGAAGATCCTGGTTGGAAGCCATCTTTTCTATATATATGTTATGATGTTAACAGATGTTAAAGTGATAATCAAATTAATTGATTATTGATCACTTTCGATGGCTCAATATGGTGTAGTAATTTCATGATATAGTTAAATATCGATAAATTAATAACATCGATTATATAATATTTTTAACCAATCCTGACTTAGGACTAATGTTGTAAATAAATAATTCGTTAAATTTTACATTAATTAATTAAAAAGATTTGTTTATAATAAGTAAGGGGCAATTCAATATGTGATGGCGTCAATTTGAAGTTTGTCATGTGTCATCATTTAACCCCGCAACAAATTCTGGTTGAATGGAATTAAGGTGGCAATACCCCATTTGGATTGAGTTTGTCCCTTTATGTTGTTATTATGATATAGGTGAGGTAACTGCATGTTGTTATTTTAGCTTTGACTTGCAAATGTTTTCGGGCACCACTCTCTTCGTCAATGTTTACAACAGTTAATCGTTCCTTTTCCAACCAAAACTATTAGTTTAAAAGGTGGCAGCTTCATTTTACTGATCATATTCCTGATTATGCTTTTCAACAAGGTTGTGACACAGTTGTGCTTTTTATTATATGATTATGGAATTATTATTATTTTTCTTTTTGGATAAGTAAACTTTTATAGAAAGGGAGAAAGAATGTACAAAATGACTAAAAAATGGCCAACTTACCTTAAGACAGGATGATACTATTTAAGACTCTCTTTTTTTTTCATACCTCTTGTCAAAGAAATGGAATTATTGATCACCGCGCTTCTTGGTTTCCATCATTCCATTCCACATCCACATCCTGTCTCTCTATTTTAGCATTATTTTCCCACTAAGTCAACTAATTATACTACAACTCATTAACATTACTCCTTTTCGATTGTCTTAATTAAAATTATCCTAGATTTAATGAGAGTGCCACTTCCCACCTATTCAGTGCTGGCTATCTCAACCCAAAGTTGGTTCCTTCGTTCATTCATTCAAGTCCATAACCACTTAATTTTTATAATTTGTGTTAGGTGTTTCAGTTATTAAAAAAAATGGAGATCGTGGGAAACATACGAGGACTGAATTCTCAATTATAAAAAATAAAAAAAACGCAGCATCATATGTAAAATTTAAAAGTCAATAGTAGATCTGTAATTTAATAACATTTTCAAAACTAAAATATCATTTGAAGCTCATCAGTATCTTAAAGAATACAGTCAAATATTCGAAACTGTCCTAGAAACACCCAAAATCAAATATTTATTACACTTCAATCCTAGAAATTTCCTATATTAATTTTCTTGCTTTTAGCTAGCTAGAATTTCTTTTATGACGTAAATTGATATAAACTGAAAGTTTTGAAAAACAAGAAAAGGTAAAAATAACTGAAAGTTTTGAAACGCTTCCATAGAATTTTGCTTGTTCATTACGATTCCATCTCTCTCATTCATGCATGATCTTTAATTTGTCTTGTTCAATTGTCATGCTTTAGTCATGAGCTTCAAATTCAGGTATAACTGTTTGCCTCTAAAGTGCATCATCTTCTCCATAGAGTTATGGCTTTTTTGGAGAGCTCTGGCTAGCCACCTCTCTTCAATTCCCATTTTATCTTCATCAACATTTCCATGCTTTTATGCTTTTCTTTTTTACTTTAATTCTCTCTTTTCACTTTTGTTTCATCTATTCCTTTAATTTCTTCACCATTTATGATTTAAATATTTATCCAATTACTGAATTCTATGTTTGGACCACTGGATATTATATTATATAGAGGATGCGTATTGGAGTTTTATTTCTTAATCAGCCTTGATTTGAAAGCAATCCTCTCGAGTTAAGTACCGTAGGCTATAGTTCATATTTTTTATATTCTTCAAATTCATAGTACAATGTATAATATTAATTAATTTAACTCCTTCTTGTGGTTTCTTGATTCGTTTGATGAGTTCCAGTTCTTATGCATTTCAGGTATTTTCCAAAAACTGCAAGGCGATATTGCTATTTAATAGGTTGACCATTTTTTATCAGCATGATTCCCAAAAACTTTAATTAATAAATTTATTTTATTTTCATTATCTTATCCAAGTTAGTTCAATCTGTGTTATACACGTGGGTTAAAAAGTATTGAAGAATTAATTCTCTGTCTTTCGGTTCAGGTGAAAAAAAGAAGGTTGTAAAATTGCAGTATTTATTCTAAAAAAGATCCCATTTCAGACTTGACATTTTACAAAGTAGTGGGTACGCTAATGGCATATTCTTGATCCACAATTTACCCCACAAAAGTATATATTCTGAGATATTAATGATTTAATTACTATATAGTTCTCTTTAATTAAATATTAATTGTTTCTAAAATGTATTTTGCTTAATTAATTTAAGTATTTTCTTCCCATAGTGGCTATGCCCCACTTTTGCCTCCACTATACTAAATCTCTTCTCCTATAAATTTACTCCTCCAAGGCGTGTGTTCTCCACACTCCTCTCTATCTTCTTCCTTTAACATTCTCACCTTTTTTTTCTCATTTCCAGCCATATTTTCATCGATGGCAGCCAACTTGAACAACCCCAAGTTCACTGTCCCAGTAAATGATGTCGAGCAACAAACAACTCTCCAGCTCGAACACAAAGATGATGACTTCGACTACTCGAAACGATCGCAATGGCTTAGAGCCGCCGTTTTAGGCGCCACCGACGGCCTCGTCTCCACCGCATCGTTAATGATGGGTGTTGGGGCCGTGAAACATGACATTAAGGCCATGATACTGACCGGCTTCGCCGGTTTAGTCGCCGGCGCCTGCAGCATGGCGATAGGCGAATTTGTCTCCGTTTACTCACAATTAGACATAGAGTTGGCTCAGATAAAGAGAGACAACGAGAGAGAAAATCACCAGAATGGAGTACTCCATACACAACAAGAAGTTGATCATGAAGACAAAGAGAGTTTGCCAAACCCTTTACAGGCGGCTGCAGCCTCAGCTCTCGCGTTTTCTTTAGGCGCAATGGTGCCGTTGTTGGCTGCAGCATTTATAAGAGATTACAACGTGAGGCTCGGCTTGGTGGTTGCGGCAGTGAGCGTGGCACTGGCGTTGTTCGGGTGGCTAGGGGCGGTTCTAGGAAAGGCGTCGGTGGTTCGGTCTTCGGCTAGGGTTTTGATTGGAGGGTGGCTAGCCATGGCTATAACCTTTGGGTTAACCAAGTTGATTGGCTCACATGGGCTGTGAATCAATCTCCTCTCAGTTTAATCTTTATGTTTGTTTTTTTCTTTTTCGTTTTTTCCTCACACTGTATGTTGTCGTAAGACTAGTTTCTTTTTCTCTTTTTTCCTCTGATCTGTTAGTTGCAAAATTGGAGGGATTTATTTGTGAGTATATATATATATATATATATATATATAATCTAAATGTAATATTACTGTAAGGAACTTATCGTGTATTAAATATAAACGATAAGCTAGCTAGATGTATGATATTATATGAAAGTATACATCTTTCTCTTTAAAAGAAGCATGATATATACGTAGGTCTCAATTATAAGAGATTTAATAATTAGTTTACGCCACAACATCGTCGGAAAAGAGAAGGGCAACACCGACGAACATATGTTGAGGAGTAATATAGGACAATCACCCCCAACTACATCTGCATCGTAAAATATGTCTCGGAGATTATATAATCGGTCTTTATTCCCACGAGATTATACCTAAAATTCTATTAATCTCTTAATCTTAAAGACTACTTTCAAATGACAACAAATTAATGTGACCCAGGTGCTTTTGAAAGGAAAACGATTCAACCATATCTTCAACTTTCTAAATTTCTAAAAAAGTCCCACTACCTATTATATCTTGAATCATATATTAAAATTATCAAAGAAAGCAAAAGATATAGAGAGAAAGGAAAAGAAGGATTTGGTACTTTGCCAACCTGAGTGGCATCCATGACAAGGACTTTCATAAATCATACCCATTTATATATAATAAAGTAGTAAAATATTACACCTGATTTTTGACATTAATATTGCAGAAATTTATGATAGTGGAAACCTGGGACATATGAATTATATATATGCATATTGAACAGGAAAAAAGCAAAGCATTTGCATAGCCAATTGGATGAAATGGAAATACACTGTTGTTTATGTTATTGTTTCAAGATACCAAACAATAATTGTTTTGAGTGCATTTTGCTTCCAAGGAAATTAAACTTTTGATTTCAATTTACGACTCCAGTTTCACCTACCAAATTAATATTGCCATATTTAAGTTGTACGTGCGTTCTTCACATTTTATGAAATATTTTCTGCAAGAGAATATATTTAAGAATCGTAACCATAATCTGTTTTGATATGCAATCTGAAAACAGTTCTTTGCCAAAATATAATTACTTAATTGGACGTGAAAAATCAATAGACACTGACTTTTTTTTTGTTTTTTTTCCCTTTCAAGGAGAAGCTGACAATTATACATATGCTTTGAAAATTTATTCCGCTGCTTCAATTGATTATTTTTTTCAAAAGTTGCTTTCGATGGAAAAGACTTTTGATGATTTGCGTTTATGGCCCTCCCCTTTGCCACTCCAATCCATTTGTTGACCATATATGGACAATTCTGTGCAATGCTGATGCATCATCAATAATTTCAATTTGAAGATGGCCCTCAACAACTATTCACAACTTTAGTTTTCATGTTCTTTCTGTTTAAAGTCATAATCATCTTTCAAATCTCTTCTCTTAGTGCAATTAATTTGTTGGATAAAATCACTTACATGTTTTAATAAATTTTTCGAGTATACGACTGTTAGGAACCCAGGACCTCTCTAGAGTTTAACAGAGAATAGTAAACCAAACGCAAGATAACAATGAATAAACTTCTATAATTTCTGTATTGATCTGTACTGATAATCGAAATAACAATCACTTCATGAACAAGAAAAGAGACTATTACAAAAGGATAACACTAGCCATTCGAGGCGCTACTAGGAACCTCCCACTGTATTTCCCACTAAAACCTTCTCTCCACCATTACATAGACTCTGCCCCAAACTTATACTCAGCTGTCCCTACACTATTCTTTCTCTGGTGCTGCCACATGGCTAATTTGCTAACAAACTTGTTAGGATCCTAGGGGTTTACTAATTAACACTTTCAACCCAAATGACACAATCAATAGACTAATTGATTGATCAAAAGAAAAGAAATAAGCAAGCAAAGAAGAACACAGAACACGGTAGATTATAGTGGTTCGGCTTTGCAGCCTACATCCACTCTCCAAGGCTCACAATGGGTATTTTCATTACTCAATCACCAAGAATATACAATGGATGAATAAAGAACAAAGAAGAATACAAAGGAAGAAACACACCCAAGTTGAAAACCCTAAGTTTTGCAATTGAGATCTGCTTCCTCTTCTCTAGCAGCCACACTTAAATACACAATCATCCTTCTCTAAAACAGCCTCCACCTATCTTTGATTTCATCATAGCTATGAGATGGCCAGCAATCCAGAAAATTCTTCAGCCATGCGTTGTGTGAGGAAAAGAGAAAGAGATGAGAAGCTTTTTCAAGACTCAAGGATCAAAGGACACGATATACATCTTGGTCTAGGACTGAAACGGTGCCGCATTCTCCTTTGACTCTTTAACAAAGTGCCGACTTCCACCGTGGCAAATCATAAGCCACATTAGCACAATTCTCCACTTTGGCTTTTGATTTGTCACCTTACGTGGCCTTGGAAATTTACTGTTCACTCCTAAACTTGCGGAAGGCTCATACAGAGCCTTTGTTTGTCAACTGGTACTGGCTTAGTGAACATGTCTGCAGGGTTGCGAGAACGCTTAACCCTTTTAATCTTGATTTCTCCTTTTTTTGATCAATTCCCTGATGAAATGAAGACGAACAATGATGTGCTTAGTTCTCTCGTGAAAAAATTATTTTTACATAAATGGATTACACTCTGGTTGTCACTATTGATCACCACTGTTTGTTGTTCAAGACCCAGCTCATTTATAAGACCCTTTAACCATGAAGCTTCTTTTACAGCCTCTGTCAACGCCACATATTCTGATTTTGTTGAGGACAGATTACCATATGCTGTAACTTGGATTTCCAGCTAACAACATTTCCTTACAATGTAAAAACAAAGCCAAAAGCTGATTTCCTCTTATCCACATCACCTACATAATCTGCATCTGCATATCCTTCAACACAACAGTCACTATTTCGATTCTTTTTTAACACAATACCTACTGATTTGGTTCCCTTCAAGTATCTCAAAATCCCTTTTAATGCTGACCAATGAGGCTTTCCCGGGTTGCTCATGAATCCGTTTACAAGGCTTACTAAAAATGCCAAGTCTGGTCTAGAGCAAACCATCAAATACATCAGACTTCCAAGTGCACTCGCATAAGGGACAATTTCCATTTCCAGTTTCTCTTCTTCATTTTGTGGACTCTGTTCATGGGAGAGTTTAAGATGAGAACCAAGTGGAGTTTGGACAGTCTTTGCATCTCTCATATTAAACTTTTGCAGAATCTTGTCAACATAGTCTTGCTGAACCAGTTTCAGACTTTCATGAATTCTGTCTCTGATGATAGATATACCAAGTATCTTTTGAGCCTGACCTAGCTCTTTCATATCAAACTTGGTAATCAGCAGAGTTTTCAACCGAAATAGCTCAAATTTATCATGACAAACCACTAGCATATCATCCACATACAATAAAAAGAAAACATGTGTCAAATAAGAGATTTTCTTAAAATATAAACAAATATCAAAATTGCATCTATCAAAACCAATTTCAATCATAAAAGAATCAAACTTTTTATACCACTATCGTGGTGACTGTTTTAAACCATATAATGATTTCTTTAATAAACAACTTTACTTGCAGTATTGTTGAAACCTTCAGCTTGTTCTATTAAGATGTTCTCCTCTAAATCCCCATGCAAGAAGGTTGTCTTCATATCCAGTTGCTTTAATTCTAGATTGAATTGAACCACAAGTGATAATAGAACTCTGATGGATGTGTGTTTGACCACTAGTGAGAAAATCTCATTGTAATCAATTCCCTGTACTTGTGTAAATCCCTTTGCAACTAGCCTAGCTTTGTACCTAGGTGCTTCCTTAGAGGTTAATCCTAGTTTTCTTTTGAAAATCCACTTGCATCTAACCACTCTACAACCTACTGGTTTATCAATTAATATCCAGGTGTTATTCTTCATCAATGAATTGAATTCTTCCTTAGTTGCCCTCTTCCATTCTGATTTTTCAGCTCCTGATACAGCTTTTTGAAATGTCTTAGGTCATCATTCATTTCCTCCTCCACCTGAAGAGCATAAGCTGCATAACCTAGTCTATTGGGAGGTCTAATCACTCTTCTAGTTCTATCTCTTGAAAACTGATAATTTGTCAGGTTTTCATCACCAAAAAAACCCTTGTTCTACTACATGATCATCATTTTGCTCATCCTCATGAGTATCATCAGTTCTAGGTACATTGTCAACTCCACCTTGATTCAAACTTAGACTAGAATTTGAGTTTTGAACCTCTAATTCTAATCCTAGATAACTATCATTGGAGTTCCCAGATTCTTCTTCAAGACCAGGTAAGATATCCTCTCTAAAAACAATCTTTGCTCACAATGCACTTCTTAGACTTTAGGTTCCAGAATTTATAACCTTTCACCCCATCCGGATATCCTAAGAAAATGCATTTGATGGCTCTAGGCTTTAACTTGTCTTCTTTAACATGAACATAAGCTAGGCACCCAAAAACCCTAAGGGTCTGCTTGGGAGTTTTTTTTCATTGGTTTTGGGGGGTTTTTAATTAGACTGGTTTTGAGGTGTTTAAAAACCATTACTTGTCATACTTTTAATGGGCTGGTTTTGACTGGTTTAAAAACCCCCTAAAACCAGTATAGTGTATTTTTTAGGGGTTTATAAAACACATCAAATCGGGGTGTTTTGGCTGGTTTAAAAATTTTATCCCAAAAAACCCCTTTCCACTAATAATCCCTTTGCTGCTAAAAAAAAAAAGTCACAGAGCCTCTTTGTTTGATTCTTCCTTCTCCAGCTTCTTTAATTCTCTCAACAAGGTTTGTTTCTCTCATTCTCTCTCATTTTTTGTAGTTAGTTCACTTTGATTTATTGACAGTTTTATTTAATAACTTCCAAGAATGTGATTTACTTTTCATTCCTTTTGTCTCAGCAATGTAACATAAGTCTTTAATTGGAAACAGTTGCTACAGACATCCAGTCTCATGAAATTCTCAGTTTGATGTAAAACAAATGTTAATTTCTTTCCTTGAAATAATTTATGCAGGACTGACAAGTTTTGGTCATGATGTGGTATTGTAACGGAGGATTGTGACTTATATCAT